ATAGAATACTTTGAGTGTATAACTTTTATTAATGAGCTCGGAGGACATATTTCTGGCCTAATTACCAGGGTGCACCCTGTAGCGCCTGAACCAAGAGTAACAACCGAGCTGTTCGTAAACATACGCCGGAGAACAAGCCGCCGGAGGCATAGAGGGCGGGCTACAATGGGACCAACAGAGGGCGTGCTACTTGTAAACCCGGGGAATTCCGTACGCAAGTTTTGGTGAGAAAAAGTCGTCGGGCGCGGTCAGGGTGAAGGTTTGTGACGTTTCGATTAATATTAGTACTATCTTCGTTGGACTGACATTACCAGTATACCAAGGGTCATGTTTACGGGTCAAGAGTAGGCCAAGTTCTGTGTTTTGACCAGCGTACTGGACTCCCGTCCGTTGCCCCAATGCCATGAATGTCATTGCCAGCGTAATGTACATGTAGCCTACCCTCAGAAGTTTGTGGGATCCGACGTCCGCGAACGTCGGAGGCGTTTAGTAAAAATTCGACCGGTCGGAACGTGTCGGAACCTTCACTGAAATTCCGTATATACTCCCCTACTCACATAATTACGGTTAATGTTATGTTTTAAAAGCGATGTAGACGGACCCCACTGTTCTGGGGTAGATTGATCATTACTATGTAGTATTACTCAATACTCAGCACTAGGCCTAGAGTAGTATGCCTACTCACTAGGCCTAATCCTAAACAGTAAGGCACTACTCCGTAGATTGCGGGGCACTTTTTAAAACACCATAGCCTTTGGAACCATCAAAAAGATGGACCTTGTAACTTAGTAAGGTCTACGGAGTAGTGCCTTACTACGTAGGCCTTACTGTTCAGGAGGTAGGCCTAGGTGACCAGCAGGACCCCCTGAGGTGACATAGTGACCCAAGTCCAAGGTCTAACGTTGTGTAGGCCAAGGCTGTGTCTGAATCACATGGCTACGGCTGGAAGGTATACATGTGCATAACTTAATGGGAACTGGCCACAGTTACTGCCGTAGACTTACTAATTTCCGGCCGTAGCCAAGTGATTTGGACACGGCCTTCGTGAAAGTCGGACATGTCGGGAATTAACCCCAGACTGGGGCCAGCCTACTAGACTACCTCCCTATCCTTGTCCCCACAACGATCCACCCAAAAAGTGGAGACTCAGCAAAAACGCCTTCCCATTTCACGTGTAGACCTATGTATTATGCACCAAATAGACCCTGACTGTTTGGCATCGGTCAAACGATCAGGAGTTAATCACTGTAGTAAACGAATGGCCGATGTGAAGATGACCAAAGTGAAACCAAAATTACATAGACTTCTACAAACTGGAAATCGCCCACACTGTTACATCAATGGTCAGATGGGGTGAATGAGCCATACATGTACATGCTGAATGGGATTCATGGAAGATGTTTTTGTAGAGTCTCCACTTTTTGGGTAGATCGTTGTAGGGCTAAGGATACAGAGGTAGTCCAGTAGACTGGCCCCAGTCTGGGGTAAGTCGGAAATAGGCCTATTGCGGACTTAGTTTCTCTTTTACTACCGTTTACGAGTGAGGTATTAAATCTTCTCCTGGTTAGAACCCCCCCCCCCATTGCAGGCCTTATCACGATTCATACAAATGGCCCTCTACATGCTGGAGTCTAGTCCCTGCATCATTACATGTACCATGGTGAAGTCTTCTATCTTGCGCTGCTCTGCGGCTCTAGACGGTCTATGATTGCAACCCTGATCCTGCAGCTATTGAGCTGATTGCATGCTTACTGGTACAGTTCAGGTACCGGCGCATGCTATTTTTCTAACATGAGATGACTGTTTCTTGAAGTACCTGTACGCAAGTGGGCCCAGACTCTTCAAATACAAGTACCTGGCAGCATTTTGATGCAAACGATTCCATGAAACTGTCGTTAAAGGGGGTTAGTTGGTGTTGATTCAGGTAGAAATTCTGAACAGTCAAGCTGACTGGATACTCCTGGGTTCAGTCATCTGGATCACAAGCATTTTGCCGAAGTACAAACCGGTTACCTTTGAAAGTTTGCCACTTTTTTCATCCTTTCAGGTGGTACTGTTCTATCAACTGAGCTTTCTCATCTGTCAGTGAGTTAACGGACATTTTAAAACTGTTGTCAATCACGGTCCTGTGATGTCGTCGTACTCCTTCTCAGACAAGGGAGGCGGTTCACTGCCAAGGTATGGGAATAGTTCAGCCAAGTTTCTATGCCGGCGGAAAGAGACTCAGACAGTTGCAAGCATGGAAACGCTTCATCGCAGTTGACGGAAGAACAAGGATGCGAGCAGTTGGCGTAGTTGGATCATGGTCAACATCGCACAATTTTGGGCTAACAGAGGCTCCACGTATTTGATAGAGACCAAAAGCAGCAAGCACAGCGAAAGGCATGCTTACTTTGGAGAAAAAATTTGCTTCACTTTAATAGTGACACGATGAAAGTCTCCACGTGCGTGCACCCATGCAGTCGTCAAATTTTTGCTGGGAAATACGCTGACTGTTAAGCAAATTCTTTGTGCCGTGGTCAGCCAAAAATGTGCTTAGTGCTAAGGCATAATTTCAAAATCGGATAGGGCCATCCGTCTGAAAAATAAAGAATAACAGTGACCTGTGTTGAGTGAATAATGGAGTGGGTGTTTCTCCACTAAAACCACATAGCCTTGGGAGTAATACAGTGTACAGGCATTCATTGGTTAGAATTGGCCACTTGAGAACACTTCATTTTATAGCCAACCAATAATAAATGTGTAGGTCGGACCGCTCTGTCCAACACCTACCTGATAAGAATTTTGAAATGGTATCTCAGCAGTGCCGTGAAATTGGACCGCGGCCTTAGATTTTGAAGCTTGGCTGATCAAGTAATCAGGATGTCTTGTTTTTTCCTTGTGTTGCTGAAATTTTGGAGAGGTTACAATTAAAGTTTTGTCCAAAGTCTCCCCTTCTCAAAAAGTTTCCAAGTAGTCACTTGGAAACGCAGAGTTGAGCTCAAAACTAGAGGTGTCACAAAGGAAGACAGGCCCCCTGGGAAAGAATTAAAATATAAAAATTAAAATATAAAAATGGGAAAAACGAAAGAAATTGAATTAAGAGATGAAAGGAGATTGCTTGGAAAAACCTCAAAATTTGCCCCCGTCCGCTGTAAAACTTCATCAGTTCTTATTAGCTGATGAAGGTTCCCCCCTCTGCATATTTTCCATTTGGAGATAAAGTGGTTTCCCCCACCCCCCTTCAAAAATCTTGGCAACGCCCATGCTTCAGTCCCAATTTACTGTCAATCCATATTGACAGTGGCTTTCCTTTCTTACCAGGGACGATGACGATGATGACGAAAACACCATCAAGATTATGGTTGGTAAGTTTGATATTATTTTGTTTTACTTTTGGAACTTCCAACTGAGAATGCGCTTGTCAGTCCAAGTTTAAACACAATTTTACAGTTGAGAACTTGGAGACCACCCTCTCTGCATGGAATCACTGTCTGGGAGCAAAACCAAGACAGTGTCCGCAGCTTGTAAAAAATCAAGGGCTCCTTTGCATCAATATGGTAGAGGCTCCCACCACTGTCATAGAGTCCATTCACATGGACAGATGCATGCCAGTATAGTTGACGGCAGTGTCAAGCCATCGTGGAATTCGGCCAAGGCAGCTGTTCCAAAATTGGCCTCACATTTGTCATTTGCTACCCCTTGACCCTCTTCAAATGTTATTTGCTTTCAGAGCCGTTTGGGGCACTGGACCTGCTTATCTCAGTCTCACACTTCCACGATTTCAACGACAAACTAGAGCTAATTCAGCTCCACTTCTTGAATGGAAACGTCCAAAGAAATTCAGTGCCGGAAATAGAGCGTGTAATGGCTGTGCCCCTCGGCTCTGGAATGACTTGCCTGTGTCATTCAGACAAATTGCACTTTCCACTGATGTAAAAGCAAATCTTAAGACCTATTTTTTTAATGAAGCATTTGGGATTTTTTGTTAGAGGTTCAATGTGAACGGTATACATGTTTTTCGTGTAGTTGTGATGCTTTGGTCATTTTTATTGTATTTTAACTGGTATTTTTAATGTGAAGCGTCACTGACAATTCAGTTTTAAGTGACGCCATGGATTATTATTTTTATATCTTATTATTCACCCCTACAAACTTCTCATTTGAAAGTGGCGTTCCTCCTTGACGCTGTCCAGGGTAAAAGAAGACACCTCTTGGCCAATTTAATGTATGCTGGACACAAAAGGAAGGCACCATTTGGTTCTGGTGAAGTCTTTGACTACTTCAGACTGTGCCGTCCAGTCCACCTGGAGCAGAAGCGCCTCTTTGATGGTTAAAAAGAGCCATGCATCATGGGGAGTGTTCATTTCGTTGATAACATTTTGTAGTCGCCTGTGAACTGGCCAAGTGCACCTCCCACCAAAGGAGCCTGTCGTTAGGAAACTAGCGCCCTCTCTTGGTCAAACTCGGGGCTCGTTGTGTCCGCCGTACTTCAAATCAGGCCAGTGCTGTCGTCAGACACATCTGTACCGAAGCCCTAACCACTGCACACGCTTGCAGCATGTTAAGTGTTTAGACATTTTCCAGCACTCACTTTTCTCTTTGATAATCTTGATTGGTTGTTTTGTTGTCATGTTTTCTCTCTTGAAAACAGCCACCGACTGTCACGTCGGTTACGCCGAGAAGGACGGGATAAGACACAGCGATTCCCTGAACACGTTTGAAGAGATCTTACAGCATGCCAGAAGGAACCAGGTACAGTAAATCCATGCAGTGGAATATTCAGTCCCTTTTTTTTTCTGACCTACACGGAGGCATTTGGAAAGTTTGAGAAGTCCAGCTTCCTTCCCCCCTGCTTCAAATGTCTGTCTTGTCTGTCACTTAAAGGCACTTACCAAATTACCCAATCAACACTGTTGGAATTCACTGAAAAATCTTTGAACATTTCAACTATGACCTCTAACAAAGGTCAGGATGAACCTGGGCTCATCCAAATCGCTTGGCTATGGCTTGAAAATATATACGCATCCATGGGAAATGACTGTCGCTGCTACACGTAGGTACTAACCAAGAAATTCAGACTTAGCCTCTTGCACGAAACAAAGCTTCCAGGAAATCCCTTTCCTTTGACAAAACATTGACCTCTGACATGATTTGATACGATGCTACTCAGAGACGACCCCTTGTGTGACCTCCATGAAAGCCTCTTTTATGGTTAGTCTTTTTTGACCTTTGACCCAGGTTGACATGATTTTGTTGGGAGGCGACCTCTTCCATGAGAATAAACCCTCCCGCAAGGCTCTCCACGGGGTGATGGCGCTGATCCGCAGATACTGCATGGGCGACCGGCCTGTTCAGATTCAGTTCCTGAGCGATCAGAGCGTGAACTTTGCTGCCAATCCGTAAGTCCAACTTTTTCAGGGAGGATACGGGTGGAAGGGGGGAAGGTTGGACTGGGTTCACTCTGCATTTAACCCCAGCTTCATGCTGGGTTATGAAAGCGGCTTCAAATATGCACTGTTGGAACCAGATGCAAATATTTCAAACCTCGACCGGTGACTGCTCTGATTACAAGGACCCCCTCACCGGCGACAAAGAGACAGGATGGTGGGAAAGTTTTTTCCACTGGGCTGAAGCACTTGCCCAGTGCACATGGGAAGACTGTATGTTCCAATTTCAAAAGTGGTCCTGGCTGGCCATCAGCGGAGCCTGTGTTCAGCGCATATTTATCTGTACACATGCAACGGGGTGAGTGCCCACCAAAGGTGCATCGTTAAGTAAAAGTATGCCACCAATTACAAGAGTTTAACCCTCCTATGCTGAAGTCACTCTTTGGGTCACTTGGTGAACACCTCAAT